TTAGTGTAGATAGCTATGAGTGACATTCAGAGTAGATCCTCGTGAGAGAAGAGTGTGTATGCATCGTGAGAGGAAGGGACTGAGACAGAGAGAGTGTTCTTTCAAGGTCTGGTTATGGAGGACACTTACCTGAGCTAGAAGCAAGTGACGAAGGTGGCATTGATGTATCTGATGTGGGATTGGTATTGCGCTGAAGTGCGTTGACTCAGGGAACTGTGAACTCATTGTAATCATAATTTTTGATAATATAAGTGACGGGTCTTGGTCCTATTCTCATCTACCTTTGTCTCGTGTGTGGCAACTGTGTCCATTGAGTGTGAAGACGATGTTTGATGTATGCACATCTGCGTGAGTTGGTCCCCAGGACCCATGCAATATGGTGAGCATCACTGAGCTGTGAGTACCATGTTTTCCTCCCTCCTCTTTCAATTCATACATTGAGAAACTTGGACATGAAAATGGGACATGAATTGTTGACCTTCTTAGCTCTTAAGTTGCTGGGCTGAAGAGGCCTCCGGAAGTCACTCTCATCCCTCGCTCAGTCAATCCCCCACCTCCAGGGGTAATCAATGCTGGGGGGAACAGAATCATCATCATTTTGAATCATCTTGAATCATGTAAACTGTAATGGGACGCTGGACCTGATTTCCAGCAGGCGACGCTCCCCAGCAATGGGATGGGGCAATGAAGGGCCCTAATAGGGATGGTGGCTCGTACCACCTCCCCTAGTAAGGGCAACCTGGTCAAAAAAAAAAAAAAGAAAAAAAAAAGAGGTTTCACAATCAAAGACTACGCATGTTTTTCTTCTTTTCTTTCCTTGCCCCCCCCTCAGGTTCTAACGATAAGATGTGGTGTTGTCTGTCTGGCCTGTGGTGTTCTTGCACTTCATCTATATCCTTTCTTTTTCCGTGCTTCTGCTTCTAATTCTTTGTTTGAATTCCATTTCCGCGACCACTGCCTTTGTTTTTCTTTTTCATTGTCACTTTCTTTCCCCCCCTCTCTCTATTTTCTGCCCACCATTCCCGCCTCCCCCCCCGGGCAGTACTACACGTACACTCTGGAGACGCCATTCGCACTTACAGGCCTGCATAACTTAGCCGTTGCTACTGCGAAGGGTAATACTGTGCTGCTGATGGTCGTAAGCGCGAGTCAGAAACAGTGGGAACAACACGAAGCCTTGCTGAGGGAGGTGGCTGATTCCTTCTCTGTGTAAACCCGATATCAGATTATTAGATATAAAATATTATATATATATATTAGGGTTCAGCCTCCTGATGAGTCGGTGAAACCCCGATGAAATAGTTTGCCACAGCCCCTCGTTTGTTGTCCTCTTCTCCCTTTCTGCCTACGGTTTACCGGACAGCTCTGTTTGACTGTATATATATATATATATGTCACAGCCCCTCGTTTGTTGTCCTCTTCTCTCTCTCTGCCTACGGTTTACCGGGCAGTTCTGTTTGCATTGACAAATTATAGCGCTACAGAGATAGATAGATAGATAGGGGGAAGGAAAGGGAATTCTATTCATGGCGGTGTTTCAAGGATAGGGTGGGAAAGTTCGACCCCATGATATCAGACAACAGCCACTGTACTCTGTCCAACTGACATTAAATATAAATTAAAAACCATAAAATTTAATTATTATTATTATTATTTTTTCCTAATAATTTGCTATAGTAATTGGTATAACTTAGGTAGCTAATGTTAAACCACCAATACACCCGCACCTAAAATCCCGAACCTACCTGCCCACTGCGCACCACTATTTTCCGAGCCTTCTGCGTGAGGGTACCTTCAGTGGGAATTTCGGAAGTGGCACTGGTGCCGCCGGTCTGCCTGAACCGGAAAAAAAAAAAAAAGCAATGATGTCGCGAACGGCATGGAGGTCGTAAGCAAATGACCACTTTCCTGAATGCATCTGACCACTATTACGGGGAGAGGGAAACTTTGCTGTTTCTCCTTTTTTTCTGGTTTTGCTTTTTTTCTCCTGGCCCTGCCAGCAAGGCAGCCCATATTCCTCTTGCTGAAAACGCCCTTGCTGAGGGTATACTCACACTAGCCACGTTGAAATGCATCCAACCACATTCACGGGCAAAGCGTTGTTGGTTTTTTTTTTTTGTTCTTTGTTTTGAGAGTCCGACAGTCCTATGTTCTGCTGAAGTGCCCTCACTGAGGGCAAACTCACACGAGTGCTCCAAAACGTGTATCTAACTGCAATCACGGCCAAAGGCTTTTGTTTTTTTT